GTTACCTGTTCTGATTGGCAATATGTGTAATGCCCATATTGGTGCGTGTGCTTGAAGTTTGCTGACACTATCCAATCCGATTGCACCCATGCTCTACATATTGACCTGTGTGCATACAAATTTCACCCCTCCACCCGTTCCAAGTACAAACTTATCCCGCCTCGCATATCCGCATACAGAAACTCCTTGGTGCCTTATCTTGTCCGTTTACTGACCGACGAGGAAAGTGTTCGTTCTGAGCTTTCCAATGCATTTGGTAATTAACTCATATTTTTGTACGTTTTCACATCCCAATTTTCCCTCTTGTTTTTTACCAGAATTGTAACGGTGGTCTGTTTTTAGGCTGAAAGCTTGTATATATAACTCGCTAAAGCTTGAGTACGATACGATATAATACAATACAATACAATACAATACAACTGCATTGTCGAAAAATACGGACAAACTTTCCCTTCTTTTGAAATTGCTGAGCTTGACACGTGCTGCATTTCAGACACAGTTAGTCTGGACAGCCCTATGATCCCTCCACAAACACATACAAATACGAACAAAACAAGATGAAAAGAAGGAAAGCACTGACCAACTCTACTCGCATACCAGTCTGAGTGTTGATCAAACCGATCAATATTCCACCATAGCCGTGCGTATTGAATGGGTTGATGAATCTCCTGTGGTTCCCGTTCCAAATGTAGATGCAAGAACAGATTGCAATACAATGTACGCAAATACATCGGAATACGATTGTCCATCAGGCATCTGAAATACATAGACGTAGGATCATATATTAGGAAACGTATAGAGTGTCACATGTGCGGCGTTGGTTTATGTGTCCTAAATGAGGATTATTAGACCAATGTTGGATTATTCCTTGGGTCTAACTGAGTGATGCTGAACGAGAAGAGTACATTAGACTACGACCGACAGTGCGGTTGTCCGCCGCACGATTCTGCCATTAATTTTCATCGATTTGCGATATTTGCTTCAAAAATATACGATAAGAATGAGCTAATGGGTTGTCCTCTTCATATAGACTATTTTCCATTCATTACAATACTCGGGACGTAACGTTTTCTTTTAATTTTTTTTTATTCATATGCGCTGTCCAGTTCCGTTTCACACATTGTCCCTTTCCACCCCTATTCGCTGGGGCATTTTGGCACCCTCTGACGGCACTGCCAATTCGTATTCTGTTTCCGTCCCACATATTTTTATCCGGCCCAAGTTGTACACCTCGGCGACACGGGATGGAACTGACTCGCTTCGGCGTGAGTTGTGGTGTTGTTGTTGTTGTTGTTGTAGGTGGTGGTGCAAGTAAGAGAGAAATCAGAGAAACAGACAATCCCTCAGTGACAATCACAAGTTCAAAATGGACGACAATAATACAACTATTTTTAAACATGTAATCCGACACGTTCTCCTACCTTACGTTTCGGTCACAAAACGCTACATATGTGTCAGTTCCAGGTTCGCAGGATGGCGCAAATTAACAGTGCAATCAGAAATCACAATCGCCTCGATCGTTCCAACAAAAACAAAACTGGTTGATCGAACATGTCAGACCCGGGGGGCGGGCAAGCAAGCCAAATAGTCCAATTCCTAGCGCTTCCCGGTCGACGGAATGCACCTATTCGTCCAGTTGATCGTTTGCGACTTGTCAGAATATAATCCAAACTGTCGTTAAAGGTGATATATTTGAAAGTCAGTTTTCAGCTCATTCACAGTAGAATCATTCAAACTATGTTGAGAATCGATCAAAGTGATCGTGAGGAAGATGAAGTGCGCGAGTGGTAACGGATTTCGGACTAAAGACTGAATAGTGGAATCGAATAGGTATTTTGATTATCAGTAACCGTTCCTCAACAGGCGGGAGATTTCACAGTTTCTTTATTCACGAGATCTGATACGCAAATGTGTATGCACAGCCATACGCATACATACATCTTCAAAACTGGGAATCTCGCATTTCCAATCGTCTTTCATGTTATCTTATTTTCACATTCACGATCTGTCACTTGAAGCGCATTTTCTAATCAATCACTGATTTGTTGTTGCATGACTTCATTGGATGAATACAGTCGAAACCCTCTAATGTGTTTGATACGTGAAGAACGGTCGAGAGTGAAAACTTGTGAGGATCACGACATTTCACGCGTCTGTTACGGACGCACCAAAGCACTCCTGTTCTTCCTACGGCCATAACTTACCGTAAAATCAAGCCTACTGGCATCCGGTTGGTCAGGTAGTTGATCGCGATATACTGCCTGGCACGACATAGATGCGCGAAAAGCTTCAACTGTTTCGCATAGTAGTCCAAAATCTCGACCGCTCTGGTCGAGTCCACCATCGCTTTTCTTCCAGATATTGGGGATGCTGGTGTTGATCGATTGACCTGGTCCTTGCTGAGGCATACCAATTCCAGCAAGCTTTGTTCCGTTCGTGAGGAACGATCCACAGACTGGCTCCCGATGCTTTCGTTCCGTGGCACGTTCACAATCCAAACGAGCCTAACATCACCTTGTTTCTGACTGACCAGGTGTAAAATTGGGACAGGTATTCGGATAATCAATGAATGCATACGAATTATGTAGTGGTGTGAAAACCCATCAGACAGTGGACAGCGAAAACTGGAAGACTATCGAAATAAATGGATTCTTAATGTTTCTAAATTCTTCACTACTCATTAGAAGGGTTCAATCTATAAAAACTATTATTATATAGTAAATTTACTGGGCCTTTCTGATGGCCTCGCAGACATTTTTACATGAGACTTGGGTAAATTCTCTCACTTTGCGGATCGGCTACACGGTGTTGATTTCATTGTTCATTTATCCGCACCCGAGTCAAATGAAACTGGTAGAAAACGTTTTGTTAACCGGGTTGGGCACTCCCATCAAGTTTACTGAGTGTTCCTTCTCTGTGGCTCGCTTGGACCAAACAATGGCTCAAACAGCGATCGCAATCCCCCGCCCTTATGATATCCCAACCAGTGCACCCTCGATATCACCTGGTCAGCCTTCAATAATGTGAAAACGTGCAAAGATCAAGTAGACTTTATTGACGACTTATCAAAGAAACGGGTTGGTCGCACCGGTTAAACTGCTCTGGTTGATGTAACGACCTCGACAAATTGTCATTGGGTTTAGGTGTGAGTTGCACCCATGCCCCTCTTGGACGATTGGGATCATGGTGTGTGTGTGTGTGTACTTATCCTCTGTTGCAGGTTGTCAATTGGCTTCATGCACGGGAAATTTC